CTTTATTGCTAATTTAAATATTTATTTTGATTATCAGTTTCAAGGATTTACATACTTGCATAAAAGATTAATTGAATATTAAATAATATGCAATCTTTTAAAATATAATAATAATTAAATCAAAAAGTAATATATGATTATGAAAAAAATATAATGAAGAATAAGAAATTAACAGTAATACTTCTTACTCATTACAGCGTGTAAATACCAATGTTTAGTTGTTCTTCAAACTCTGCATCAAGATAATATGAGTATTAAAATCCTTCTGAAGTATTATTTTTTAAAAACCGGTATAGAATATAGTTTCAATATTATTTATTATATATAAAAACAAGCAAAATGTTTTTTTTTTTTTTTAAATTTCTGAACATTTTTCTTCCCCCCCCCTTGGTAAAAAATCAAGAATTTCTTGCATTAATGCTTACAGGAACAAGATTAATGCAACACTGCTAATAGATAAATGATTTGCCAGCAGGCATATATATGATATAAAAATGCAGCAAATTCTGATATGAGATTCTTTTCTTAAAAAAATTAAAACATAAATTTTGCCTGAAAACGTAACAAGCATTTCTTATTTTACCAAAAGAATAAATTCAGCAATTAAAAAATAAAACAAAAAACTTGTTAAAATCTTAATACATAATTTTGGAGAAATTATAAATGATGAAAAATAATAATATCAGCTTTTCCCCTTGAAAAAAAGTCAGTTTCAATCAAACTGAACACAAAATAATAAAATGACTATTAAGCTTTAAATCTTAATTTTATTGCTGTGTTTTTCTTTTACTCAGCAAAAGAATTGGCATTCATCAAAGGTGGGATGGCCATGGGACAAATACGAAACAAGTCTAGGGTAAAAAAATAGATGTTAAAAACTAAATATTACAAAGTAATAAAAAAATACTTGGGAAGTACCATTCTGAGAGCTGTATTAGATGTTGAATATCTGTTAGCAAAATTTCTAACATTTATACAAAATGCTCAAGTAGAAGTGTGAAACAAAAAATGGAAATAAATGACTATGCACACTTTAAAGTATACAAATATGACAGCAATTAAAATTGCATTCAGTTAAAATATTTCTCTCAGAATTGAAAAATAGAAATAAAACCAGATGATAAAAAATTCCATTTATTAGATAAAATGCCTCAATGCCTTTTTAATTAGTTACATAACTGTAAAGATTAATATATAAATATATACTATATAAATAATCTAAATAGCATTTAAAGCTTTTGGGGCACATTTTTATGAAATTTTCAATAATATTTTTTTCTTTCATAACAGAAACAGATAACAAAAAAATCCAATTCGTCTTTTCTAAATTTATGACTGAGCACAAGTTTAATAATGAAGCTATTAACTTCTATTGCAAGATAATTTTGCCTGGGCAAGGAGGGATTAAAAATATTTTTGGCATAAAAGATTTGTATGTGCAAATAATTAAAGATATTTTAACTAACATGACTATTATAGCAGTAAAAATTCTATTCAATTTATATTTCATTTCTATTACACCCCCTTCCACCAAAAAATAAAGTCTGAAATTAACATTATTACACAAAAAAGAACTTTTTACAAAAATGGAGCTCGTCTTTATCATTTTCTATTCATTTTATGGATGTTTACTAACATTTTTATAACAGCTTATTTATATGTACTTTTAATGGTTTGAAATTTTATATATTGTTAGAAGACTGAAATAATAAATAGCTTTTACAGATGTACCAATATGACTTCAGATAAACTACATCACTAAAAATAATTGTTAAAGATTTCAGATATCTTGTGATATATTTCAAAATTTATTATGCGGTGTAAGTAGAAGAATAAAATTGCAACTGACTGCTGAAAGAAAAATAATTTATATTATATAGTATTATCCAATTTATCAGGGATAAGTGGGGTTTGCACATTTGGATTACAGCTTTCTGGGGGAAAAAGAGGGAGGATAGCCCACAACAGGCTTTTTTTGTTTTTAAAAAAAGGAAATACAGTCAAAAGTCTTTAATCCGGACTCACTGGGACTTTGGTGATTCCGGATTATAGATCATCAATTTAAATCTGGTAAGATGGCATGCAGAAATTATAAAATTAAAAGTATGAAACCGTAATTTATGAAATAAAGAGCAATTATGATCTAAAGGGTATCAAAATTTACAAAAAAAAAAAAAAAAAAAAAAAAACCTTAATATTTATTTGTTTACTTTATTAAATATTTCTTTCAATGCACGCATGCGTAAAGCATACATTATACATGGTCGATATTAGAAAATTGCTACCAGAAAATTATTTGATGTGTATTCGTAATATTTATAATGACGAGGAATTTTATTTAAATCATATCAAAGACGGAGTACATCCAGATGAAATACTACATTTAGTAAGGAATTATAAGCCGAATAAAATAAAAACATCTGCCCTGAAGATAAGGACAGTGCTGACAAATCAACTTCCAGTTCATAGCGTGCCACATAAATCGATCAGTAACTAAAAAAGATGCTATTTTTTCAATAAAATTATTTTTAAATTACTGACTCAGTGCATTACGAATGAAACAGAAAAATACATGTAAAAATTAACAGCACAAGTTACACATGAATTACCAAAAAATAAGTAAAAATTTACATTACATTAAAAAAATAAATTAATGAAAGAAAAAAAAAAAAAAAAAAAAAAAAAAAAAAAAAAAAAAAACGAAACACATGAAAAACATAAAACTAAAAAAGAAACTCAATGCACCATAAATAAACTGTAAGTTTCCATTTTCAGAAATTTTATAACTAAAAATGACCAATATCAGCACTCTACCACTGATGGTAATTTTACAAAAAGCAGTCTACCACTGATAGTAATTTTACAAAAAGCAGTCTTCCACTGATAGTAATTTTACAAAAATAAGCAAAGACCAAATGTTAATACTTCCTCTTTGTTGAAATCTGTTTCAAGATATCTCGAATTAAATTATAATATTTTCCACACTGCATTTGAGTGCATTCATACCAAAGTAGATGTTTACTGCCATCTAAAGATTCAAGTTTGTTTGACTCAAGATTTGTTTATTTTACATGTGTTGGCTTGATACTCTAGATCAGCGATTTTCAACTGGTGGTAAGTGTACCACTCATGGTATGCAAGAGAAAAATAGGTGGTATGCAAAGAAAAATGTATTTTTAATTATTAAATTTTAAAATCCTGTGAAGTAAAAGAACAATTGATAGAAATTTCCTGCGATTTGACTCTAACTGAAGATTTCAAAAATAACACACTTGATAACTTTTGGCTGCACAAAAAAAAAGTTAATATCGAATAAAACTATTACATTTTTATTCCCTTTTTGCACAACCTATCTGTGTGAACAAGGATTTTCTTCCATGTTATATTTGAAAAAACAACTGCAGAACAAAATTAAAAGTGGATCCTAATTTACCATTAAAGTTAAGTGAAATATGACCAGACATAAAGAAACTGATCTCTCTTAAACAGGCCCCAATTTCACAAGAAATTTTAGAATTAAAGTATTATAACTTAAATTTTAATAATTTAAACGGTAACCAATTTTTAATCTAGTATTTTTATGTGTACATATTTAATACAAATAGCCAACAGGTTGTGCAAATGGCAAAATATATATTTTTTAGTTTCTATTGAGAAACTGAAAAATAATCATTGTGAAATAAAGCGGTGGTACACTAAAGTTTTTCAGTTTTTGTTTAGATGGTACATGTTAGTCAAAAGGTTGAGAACCACTGCCCTAGATGGAAAGCAATGACTTTCCTTTGAACAGATTCAGGATAGCTTCTGCTATTTCTCTTCAATATCTTCACTAGAATATATACTATAACTTCTTCCCACATAAAATTTATGACAATATGTATGATGATATGCACAGCTTGCAATTACTAAATAGAAAAATATTAGAAAGATCAAGAAAATGTGGAATGGGGAAAATGGTAAACAGACAAGAAAAAGCAAGTCATTTTGATTTATTAATCAGTTTCATAGATAGATCTAGGGAGGGAAATATATTAAGAAATTGTTTATTTTATCTGTAAAATAAAAATCATAAGATAAATGAAAACTAATAAAAATTATAAATTAAATTAAAAGAAACGGTACTACTCCGATATACGCCCTAATTTCACCAAATGTGGGGATATGTGTTCTGTGCTGGTTTTTGGCACGATTGCATGTTGGATGGCAACACTGTTTGACGTTGAAAAATCTTTCGCTCTAGCTCGTTGGTTCGCGTCTGTGTCTGAGAAGATGGGGGGGGGGAAGATAAAATGGTGGAAGTTGTTGAATTGAAGTTCAGCAAAAGGAAATATCATTGCGGCTATCCTGTTAAGGGGTAGTGAGTATTTGGAGGTGTGGAAAGAGGGTCTGGGAGATTATTTTTAATGGCTGTACATGATAGAAGTAGGGATTTGTGATTTTATTTATTTGTGAAGCATAGTATGAATTTTCTGGACAGTGTGTCTGGCTGTCATATAAATACGATAGTGATTACGTGGCGGCATGTTAAAGGCGGTATGAAATTGGTATTTCTGCTGTTCAAAAAAGCATTAATTCATGGTAAGTGCATTTTATTTTATTCTTGTTCTTATTTTGTAGAATGTTATGTTCATTGGTTCTTTAGTATGAATTTCTGTCGTTATTGTTGTTTTTTTGAATTGTTTGAAATTTATTTTAGTTTATTTTGTCGATTAGTGTTTAGTGTCTAGGTTGCGCAATTCATAGACTTTTTTAAGTTTAAACAGAATGCTGTGTACATGGTATTATTTGAAATTTATTGTTATGTTATTTTATTAAAGCGAGGTGTGCGTAGTTCGTAGATTTGTTCGTTACCTAAATTGAGCAATTCGTAGATTTTTTTAAAGTTTAAACAGGATGCTGTGTACATGGTATTCTTTAAAATTTATTGTTGTTATGTTAATTTATTAAAGCGAAGTGTGCGTAGTTCATAGATTCGTTCGTTGCCTACATTGTGCCATTCGTAGATGTTTTTTTTAAGTTAAAACAAGTCGCTGTGTAAATGGATTCTTGTCAAATATTTTTGGTTAGAAACTTTACGTTTTTGCTACCTAAAATTTTTGCTTTGGATTTTTAACTTGAATTGTGTGTTAAAAACGTAGTTTTTGCATGTGCGAAAACCGAGTTTCTGGAGACATTTTAGGCTTAAAGTTCGAAATGTAGACAAAAAATTTAGGTAGTAATATGGCAGCGTGTAGTTTCTCACCAAACATTTTTGGCGAGAAATTTGGCGACTTGAGGGCGCATATCAGAGTAGTTCCAAAGAAACAACATGGTTACATAAAACCACATATTTACAATTCTTAAAATTTATTTTAAATTGCACACATAACACAGAAATTTTGTCATTTGAGATAATCTATACTTTACTGTTATTTTTGGAAATTACAGTTTTATCAAATATATTAATACGGTGTAAACTTAAAGTCCATTCTTTTGAATGCTCAATTTAATTATGAAATAAATTTAAGACAATAATTTTCAGAATAATATTCATCTAAGTATATAATTAGAAATATATTTTATTAGTAAAGAAGACTTTAATTTGTAATAGAATACTTAGGGAAAAATAAAGTGTCTACTAACGATCTTGTAGCTAAAAAAAAAAAAAAAAAAAAAAAAGCCCTAACAAACTTCCTATTAAAATAATACACCCATTTTCAACATCAAATCCACTAATATTTGTTCACATGATATGTTATGATATATACTATCCTCTCTATAGTATTACATATAATTTATCAAACAGATCATTATGATGGATATGAATTTTATAATTCTGAATACTTTAGAAATTTGCACTGAATAAATAAATAAATAAATAAATAAATTCACTGACATAAACATGATTTAGACAGCATTCTTCAGGCCTTCATATCAGATACTTAAAGTTTAGGAGATACATTTAAAATATACAAGGCCATATTTTGTCCTATACTTCAAAATTCTATGAAAAAAAGTTACATATACTAATCAGCATTTTCTAAAGCAATTTTGACTAGTTCATTGTGATCAAATACAGTTTTTAAACTTCAGTTCTGTATGTTCTTATTCAAATTTTGCAGGATTAGAAACATGATGCACTTGACAGTACACAACATACATTTCATATCAAATATTCCAATATACTGACATTAAACAAATGCTAATAATGATTCAATATTTTATGTGCGCTTTGCTTTTAGGTATGGAAATTTTACATGATGATAAAGATTAACCCATCTTACACACATCAAATACATAGTTAAAATTGATCTGCATTTGTGAATAATATAAAAAGTAAATGCAATCACAATATGAAATTATTCACACTGAATGCTACAAACACTATTTAGGGAAAATACACATCTAGTTTGTATTAAATTATAATAATGTCGAGGAATACATTCCTAGACAAAAATTTGTTCTCAACAAATATATATACCAATCTAAATACATCAAGCAAAAAAAAATTATACATAGTTGATTAAAACTTCAGTTTAAAAAAATTATGCTAATAAGGTTGAACTTTTTTATGATGATTTTCTCATATATCTAGAAGATTTAACTAAAAAGGATGCATAATTTACGATTATTTATATACACAGGTAAAAGAAACATTGTTGATACATGTGCACATAAATTGTGACTAATTCAAATTTCATAATATACTAGAAATTTCTATATTTTATTTAAGAAAATCATCATAAAAAATCAAAAAGTAGTCATTTTAACATGCATATGCCAAACGAAAGTTTGCACTATATACAGAAAACTCTTAAACCATCACCAGATATTGCAGCTAACATATAACTAGGATTTTGCTGCAAATAAATATCAAAACAGCAATCATACACAAACACACTCACATACATACAAAGAAAAAAAATGCTCAACACATACACTTCATTCTACTGATATAGTTTAAAAAACGTTTTTTACACTCTATGCTATTTTACAACATAACAGATTTCTGAGAATTTGTTGGCATACGTTCCAACCTTTCATCCATATAACTTGAATCAGACTTAGAATGACTATAACATTTAGCAGATCTTTTAGGTAATGACTGTGCTTCATTAGGGCTAAATGCACCAAATGGAACAACATCAGGTGGAGGTTGGCCAGAAGATAATTTGTTTCCCATCAGAGGTTGTCCATATACACTGGAAGGCCTAAAATTATTTCCAGGAAGACCTAAAGATTGCTGTTGTTGTAACAGTGGTTGTGACTTTTTTGTTTCACCTGGACGGTTATGTTTTAAACGTAGAGAGGAAACTGCAACAGGTGAGTCTGGGTGCACAAAAGAGAACTCTGAAGTAGCAGAGGTAGCTGAAGATTTTGTGCGTCTGGCTTCAGGAGGCTGTGATATTTCTGGAGAGGAGAGAATATGCTGAGCATACAAAGACCTTTGAGTTAAAGCAGGTGACACCTGAAGAGAACGGGGAGAAGGTTTAAATAAATGTCCATTTTCTGAGCGGCGTCCAAGAGAAACTAAGGAACTATGTGACCCAGATGAACACTGAGGAGCAAGTCGAGGGCCAAATGTATGACGAGTCACGGGGTAATAATCACAGGATGAAGCAGCATCACAGTCCGTATCGCCGTTTGAATCCCCTTCAGTTAAGACTGAAATTTTCAGAGAAAGTTTATTAACCTCCAAACTAAATACATACAAAGTAGCTACGAGGGCTATCCAGAAAGTAGATTACGTTTTGGAATAAAAAAATAAACAAAGTATAGGAAACAAATTTTATTATATACAGATGAAAGCCACACTCAAATACTACTTTTCTACATAGTCACCATACAAATTAAGGCATTTATCGTAGCGATGTACGAGCTTGGAAATTCCTTCGTCGAAAAATTCGGCCGCCTGCGCCTTCAACCACTTCGTTACCTCTTCTTGCCTTCCATCTTGCACAAAACTTGTGGTAACCAAGCTTTTCGCTGATGATTTCGTGCAACAAACTTCGCGAAATTTGTGGAAAACTCAAAGAAAGTTCCGTTATTGTGAAATTTCGATTTTCACGGACTTTAGCATCGACTTTTTCGAGAAGTTCGGCGGTCACTATGCTGGGTCTCCCACTTCGATCTTCGTCGTGAAACATTGGTTCGGCCATTTTGAAATCTTATGACCCACTGACGCACTCCACCTTCAGTGATAATGTTGTCCCCATACACTTCACGAAGCTGCCGATAGATTTCTATCGGTTTACAGTTTTTTGCAGTCAGAAACCTTATTACTGAGCGCACCTCGCAGCTCGCGGGATTTTCAATTAACGCAGACATTTCAAACCGTCACAGTATCTGAACGGAGCACAGCACGAACCTCTCACTAGCACGGCTAGATGCAGACTGAGCTGCGCAACGCTCTGACCCCAAGATGGCCACGCTAGCCCCGCCCCTAGCGGACACAGACGGAAACGTAATCTACTTCCTGGATGGCCCTCGTACATATGAAACTTCAGCATTCATAATTCTATTTTACAATAATTTTACATACAAACTATACTTGAAAAGCTTACATACAGATGAGAGTTTAAACAACACAATTCATCGAATTAGAAATGAACGTTTTGAAAGAAAAGAAATGACTTAAGTGCAATATCAATCATTGGCGATTATACTTTCTGTTCGAGTCGCAACAGTCACCAGTAACTGATAATGAACTTTTTGTTGAGGTCAGTCAATCACTGCTGACTGACAATACACATTTTTAAAATTACATTCTTATTAAATTCCATACAGGTCTCTATCCACTAGCATTTCAGTGAAATTGGATACTGAGGGTTAAATGGAAAGATAAAAAAGGCTTCTTTAACAAGTTAAAACTTATTTTAAATTAAATGCTTACTAGATTTAAAAAAGTTCAATAAAGTGATATTTTCATTTCTAAAATTTAAAAGATATGGCAGTGGTAAACAGAAGGACAGGGGCCCATGCTGACCTGCAAGGTTCTTTTCCATGGCTTGTTTCACAGGTTACAAAACTGTTTATTATCACACTATTATTAGAAGTACAGTATAAAGTCCAAAATCTGGACGTCTATTATCCGGAATGATCTAAAATCTGGACGTCCATTATCCGGAATGATCTAAAATCCGGACCTCAAAACCACCAACATTTTTTCTCGCAGGCTTTACGCATGCACATTTCATTTCCTCCCTCCGCGCATAATAAAACATCTAGACAGTCCCAATTCTTAATTTCACTTTGACACTAAATAAAATATCTTGTTATTGAAGAAACAATAATTTTAGCATAAATTTGTACGATCAGCAATTTGGCTCCGTTGCTGCATATTTGCCTGGCACCTATCTCAAACTGAAACATTCCACATAGATACATTCTTGATCTAACACCAACCTGGCGAATCATTATTTATTACACTTCCCTTTCATCATTGAATGTTTATCAAAAGATTAGAACTTGAGTATTGACTCAAGTAGCGATGCCTGAACAATTTTTTATGTTAGTAATTCAATAATAAAGGAGTATGGTAACCTTTTATGTTCACATTACTCTTGGCGATGATTACAGATTTAAGTTAAATGCACTAAAAAATGTTGACGAGGAAAAATTTAGCAAAAATTTCTTTCCATATGCTAAAAATAGATTTTATTGATGATACTTATAGACCCAAAGATTACATTTAGGGTTATTTGAATTAAAAATAACTGATTTGTTATTTAAATAAACAGAGAACCAGCAACCAGAGCTCGTATGGCCGCACTAAGTCGCAGAATTTAGGACCCACAGAGACTGCATGAGGCGGTAAGATATCTAGCATCAGCCCTCAATAAAGCTTAAGTATATGTGGGATTTATTTTTTCAGAACTCTGATAAACCTTAAGCATGTGCAAGGAATAGGCATAAGTATAATAAATAACTAAACTAATACAATTCAAACTTAACTGTCTCAGTGCGCGATAGAAGCAAGATAAAATTTAACGGAACTTATCGTTAATGGCCAAGCTCATGATACATAGCCAAATATGTATGGTAAAGGATAGCTCAATTTGATGATTATAGCCACTAATTTTAAAGGTTTTCGGATATCGCAAAACAAAGTTAAAATTTTCCAATTAATGGATTTTGTAAAGAAATGTGAAGAAGCGGTAATAAATGAAGATGATATAAAAGTTTTTCATTGTGATGACAATGCTTCTCATTCATCAATCAATTAATGAATGGCAAAAAAAGGTAGTATGGTTCTAGATCCAGAAAATACCGCTACCAATAGTAAAGAAAGTGACAGAGAAGTTAAAGAAAATGAGAAAATTTCGATTGACAAGTTAGTTGGAATTCTCGAAGCGGCAGTTACAGGACTTCTACAATGTAACTGAACAAGAGATTTTGTCTGTCTACAGAATTAAAGAGAAAGTATTACCCCAAGATAATAAGGTATTGAAAGATAATAAGGTAAACAAATAAATAGTAGTGTCGTACATACACTCTTCACACACACACAAAATAAATAAATAAATAAACAAATAAATCTGAAAGATTCAGATTTTAAATTACGTCCAAAGGGGCATTTTTTAACGTTTTGCGTATTACCTTTATTTATTAAATATCATGTTCTATGTACTCAAACTATAAAATTCAGTTCAAAAGGAATATCGCAAATTAATTTTAAAATGAGCATATCTTTAGAATTTTGGATACACAGCCTTGCATGCTTTTTCGTAGAGTGTTGCGATTGCTCGCTTTGAAACCATAGAGTTTCTTAATCAAAAATTCATTAGAGTACTAGAAAATATGAAATCCATAATAAAACAAATTCCAAATTAGGCTTCCAAATGCCCATATTTGGTGGAGGATTATGTTATTCAAAATTTGATGGCTCTAGGTACTGTTGTTTTATCACAATGCGAGAAATATGCACACAATTATGCAGATTCTTCATTATTTAATTTCTTAAAATATATTTTTATGTATTTCAGGGCTCTAATATTTGGTGGCACAATTTAAAAAGTTATTCGTTGTTTATAGTGAATCAACACAAAATGCCAAATTAATAGTCCTATTGGGCCAGTTGTTCCTTCGCACTTAAAAAAAAAAAAAAATTCAGATTTTATATTATGCCCAAAGGGGCAGTTTTTTAACGTTTTGTGTGTTACTTTTATTTATCAAATATCATGTTCTTTGCACTTGAACCATAAAATTCCAATTTAACAGCAATATCACAAAATATTTAAAAGATCATATCTTTAGAATTTCCGATACACAGTCTTGCGTGCTGGAGATAAAAATGGGATGTTTTTCCGTACAGCGCTGTCATTGCTCGCTTTGAAATTATTGAATTTCCTTATCAAAATCTCATAAATGCTTTATGAAATATGAAATAGATAAAGGAAATTCCAAATTTGGGCTTCCAGATGCCCATATTCAGGTAGAGACTTATGTTATTCAAACTTTCATGGCTCTAGGTACCACTGCTTTATTGCTATTCGAGAAACATGCATATATTTATGAAGATTCTTCATTATTTAATTTCTTTAAATATAATACAGGGCTCTAATATTTGGTGGCAACAATTTAAAATGTGATTCGCCATTTATTGTGAATCGATGCAAAATGCCAAAATGAAATTAATAGCCTTTCTGGGCAAAATGCCCCTTTGGGCATAAAAAAAGATGGGGAGCAGCTAAATCTAAAAGAATAAAAATTGCTATAAAATAACAAAATAGATAAGAGTATGTATTAGGTAACTATAAAGATATAACAGAATTAATTATCATTAAACACTTTATAAATACTTCATTTTATTAATTTAAGAATTAAAGAAATTCTTAAATTAATATTAATATTAAATATTAAACACTTTATAAATACACTTAATTTTGCAAAGCAATTTAAAATTTATGAGGATAATCAGATACACCAATATATAAAAATAAAAGACTGAAAAGTTTACATAAAGAGACATAAAAAATTATTTTTTACATTTTTCAAATAGCTACCTTAGTAGTAAATGATTTGGTTTTAAAATTTCTATAATATATTCATTTTAATAGTTCTTTCTTTTCAAATTATATACAATTGTTACTATCTGATCAAGCATACAGCAATACTATTCTAAAAATGTTTAAATATTTTTCTCTTCAAATTATATTTTTCTAGGTTTACTAGATGGCTGCTATGATCAGAAACTTCTTTCACTGTGTTTAAAATACTGTTAATGATTTCTTCATTAAATGCATGATATTGCTAATTCAGAAGTCAAACAACAAAAATCAGCGTTAATTTACAAAATTTTCACAGGACTAGTTTCGATGGTTTTACCGAACCATCGAAACTAGTCCTGTGAAAATTTTGTAAATTAACGCTGATTTTTGTTGTTTGACTTCTGAATTAGTATTTATTCGGCGTGTTATTGTGTCTTAATTGCATGATATTGGTTTTAAGTTCATCAAAATTTGTTATCCAATCCACTATGCAATCTTGAAATACTTGTTCATTTTACCTCATTTCTTTTGTAGTATAAACAATTTTTAAGCTTTAGCCTCTGTTGGATCCTAACTCTGGGATATACATCACTATAAAACTGTTTCAATAGAAAGTGAATTTTGTTATAAGTTGTGCCACATATTTATCAAAGTAGACAGACTTAAAGAGAGAAGTTTTTAATTCAAAAGTTTTATGATTTTATGACCTTATTAACAGTGAATTTTATTGTTTACACCTGAGAAAGACTGTGCAAGTTTCAGATGTTGATGATTTTTGGTTTTTGACAGCATTATAATTATATCTTATAGGTATCTTATTTAAAATAAAATAAAGATAAAAATTATAAAGGAATATGTTTGTATGCAAAATGTATTGATAAATAAATAAAAATTAAAGATTCTTTTCCTCCTGATAAAAACTAAAGGTTAAGGAAAAGGTAATTAGCAAATGCATGGAATTGGCAATAAAAGTATTTTTTATGCAACTCCTGACAACTTCTTTTACTTAATACGATTTTCTTTGTGCTATCACTAATGGGAAAGAAATGATAAAATTAAATATGTTACTGTTTTAAAATTTGCAAGAATGTAGGAGGTGTATTCGGAAACGAAGTACCGTTTTGAAAAAAAAAAAAAGAAAAAAAAAATCTGATGTGTACACCACATGACTTCCATGTACGGAATATTAAATTATACGCATTTTTTCTTGCATTTAACTTATTAGATTGAATTAAACCTACTTTCGCTGACAGCGCATAAACCACAATAGAATAAATGCATTCTTTAAAATTCACTTTGTTTACCATAGCGACACTCCGGCGCTAGGTTTACTTAACAGTATTATATTTCATTCATATTATAACTGAGAATGCACAAAATTTATATCATTTAAAGAATTATCGAATCTTTGCCACATGTTCTATTCAAATACTATAACAAAGAACGATGTATAAAAGAAATTAAGCAAACAAAACGAAAAAGAAACAGTTTTTCACAGAGAATTGAGTATTTCTCATTCAATTAATTCAGTTTTCACTTCGCGACAAGGCAAAAATACATAAAAACTCAAAATATCTGTATTAAAAATTACGAAGTAAATCTTAAATACTTATTTCCTTGAAAAAATTCCAGAAAGAATTAAGCATGATTTAATTGGCAATAATAAATGAAGGCGTTATTTTTGTGTTGCGAAGCTTAGTGTCTCTAGATTGACAACAAATCTACAATTCTGCTGTTTCAAATGTAAACAAATATGTCCGCCATGTTATTTAAAACTTAATCACACTTAAACAGCTTTTAAATTGTTGATAATTGTACAAATATTGCTTCCAGAATTACGAAAGGCATAAAAACTTTAACCGGAAGATAAAAACAACATAATTCAATCATTTTTAAAGAATAAAATGTACAATTTAGAAATATATAACAGTAAAGAAACTGAGATCACTGAGCCGGGTAACAGAGTGGATATATTTATAAATATATTTATATACATTTGGCGCAGCCGCTTGAAACCAAAATACGAGGTGCACATCTACATGTTGTAGTAGTCTTATATACAAACTTTCAACATTCTGAGGCTACTCGTTTTTGAGTTATGCGAGATACGTACGTACATAGGTTCGTACAGACGCCACGAAAAATTCTCTTCAGAATTCATTTTAAAGTAGTTTTTTAGTTTTTTTGGAGGAAAAGAGTCTTTTATTCTGTCCGTACGTATAGATATTACGCAAAAACATCGTTAAATTGCATTCAAAAGCGGTCAAAGTGGATATTTTCGTTGAAATATGCTGCCTGAAGCTTTTCGCGATTACAATACATCCTTTTTACTTCATACAAAGAAGTAAAAAAAAATAGTAAAACAATTTTTTCGAATCCAATTTTATTTTTACATGAAAATACATGTCTTAAACTATTTTTCAACATAGTTTCCGCCAATGATCAAACACTTGTCATAGCGGGTGACCAGTTTTTGTATACCATCGTCAAAGAAACCCGCCAGTTTCGATAACCTCAACTCCACTGCATTTTACGTGTCATCGTCAGATCCAAAGCGCTTGCCACCAAGCTCGTGCTTCATGTGCAGGAACAAGTGATAGTCGGACGGCGCCAAGTCCAGGCTGTACGGCGGGTGATCGAACTGCTCCCAATGAAACAGTCGAAATAACGATTGAGTGACACCAGCAGTATGGGGCCGAGCATTGCCATGGAACAACACAATTCCTTTACTGAGCATTCCTCTTCGTTTGTTTTGAATGGCACGCCTTGGTTTTGTTTAAGTCTTACAATATCGTGCCGCATTAATAGTTTCACCTCTGGGAAGAAATTCAGTAAGCAAAACACCTTTCCTATCCCAGAAGACTGCACATTATTTTTTGTGATGACACTGTCACTTTGAACTTTTGTTTTTTCGGAGAATGAGTGTGTCTCCACTCCATCGATTGTTGTTTTGATTCTGGTGTGAAATGACACACCCAAGTTTTCATCACCTGTCACAATTTGGTTTTTAAAAAGTTTTCTCCCTCATCACTGTACCGCGTGAGAAATGTCAGGGCACTATCAAGTCGCTTTGTTTTGTGAACATCAGTGAGCATTTTTGGAACCCATCGGGAACACAGTTTGCAATAATTCAAGCGGTCAGACACAATTTCGAATAAAACAGTATGTGAAATTTGTGGAAATGCCTCTGAAAGAGTTGTCATTGTGAAGCATCTGTTCTCATGAATTGCTTCATCAACTTTCCTTACCAAATCATCGGTGACAACAGAAGGCCGACCACTCTGAGCATCACCTGCATTAAACATTCTTACCCACTTTCTCACCATTCCATCACTTATCGCGTATTCACCGTAAACTTCTGTCACTTGATGATAAATTTCGGCCAGTTTAACATTCCTTGCGTTCAAAAATTTAATCAGACAGGAATCTCACAGTCAGCGGGAGAAAATTGTCTTAAACATTTTGAATGTGCACAGCACACTGAAAACACAACATAGAGCAACCAAAATGGCGACAATTGAAAGTCAGTGAACAAGAAAAACTAGTGCGCATGCGTGCAACGCCTACCACAGCACTGCGACGGCACTAGAATGAAACGGTACTTAGTTTCCGAATACGCTACATATAAATTTTATTTTGATATTATGTAACTATCACATTATAACCAGAATTATATAATTTCATAACCATAAAAATTAAAAAGAGCCTTTAAAATACCTGACATTCTTCTAGAATATTCATTTATTGAAGGCATAAAATGTTTATCAACAAGTGATCGCATGAATGGTCCAGCATTACTGCACAGTTCCAAATTAGATCCTGAGTGTACCAAACCTGGAGGACCAGGACTAGCAGACAAAGAGTGATGAGAGTTGACACGGTGCCTAGAAAAGATAATTCAATAACTTAAATGGATAATTTGTCCATTATATTCCCAATAAAGTTCATATTAGCATTACACAAAACGAAGCTATAGATATAAAATAAACAATAATGAAATAATGTTTTCAAATTTTCGTTTCTAGTTCCTGCCAAATATGTTCAATATGATTAAGATTTGGAGATTGGAGTGGTGCCTTAATTACTCCTGGACACTTTTATAACAGCCAGAGTCTTAACATTATGTGTGCACAATATGCTTCAGATCATTGCCCTCGTAGAATTTAAAACCATTTTGTATGTTAAGTTTTTTGTACTAGTGATGCCAAATTTTATTTCAAGATGGCAAAGTACTTATATTGATCCATAATACCATCTACAAACTCTTTTCTCAACAACAGCACTCGTCCATCTGAGCTGAAGATGTTAAATTTGCTTTCATCAGCAAACAACAATTTTTGTGTTTTATTAGTTATGCCTGTTTTGCTTCATCGATTTTGTGAAAGCGAGTCGCAGTTTTAGTGTTTTTTTACTGACATAAAATTTTGTTCTTGCTACTCACCCATGATATCCTGCAAATAACATTACTTTTCTAACAGTTTCTGGACTTAAGTATATGCCATGTAATTCACGAAGTTCCACAACAAATTTAAGAGCATTCAGTCCTGGATTCTTTTAATATTCCTTAAAGAAAAATGTTTCATTCCACCAGATAACCTAGATGGTCTTCTTTTGTTTTGAATACGATTCTGTTTCTTATAACTCTTAATAATATCAAAATCTGTAGAATTATTTAAATTAAGTAAATAGAAAATTTTTCTAATAGATTTTCCTTTCTTTTGATGCAAATTAATAACTCTGTGGGTTTCTAAAAATATTTTCTTTCGTCGCCGAACCACTGCAAGAAAACATAATAATAACGAATATTTTCTAAAAAAAATATAATTTTAAAAGCAAATGATTTTCAGATTTTTGCCTAGCTTCTTTATCCAAACTAATTCCATAACATTTCATTTTTTATTTACTGGACACAATTTTAATTAGAAATTGAGAAAATGTCCGATTAAAGTCTGAAGGCTAGTTCTTCCAATCAAACAGAACAGGTGCCTATCTCTGAAGCCTCTCTGGTGTTCCTGATTTTAAAAAAATTAAGCCTCCAACTTACATTCTGTTACAGAATTTTTCAACAACAGTAAGGTGTAAAGGGGGAAGCAAAAAAGGTAATGCATTGATAGGTAATACAATTTTAGATTCAGGGTGACCAAAGTCACTCATCTTGAGAAAAGTGGTTGATCTTTAGGTTTGAATGTGATTAATAAAGGAAGCAATAGTTATTTTCACATTTGAATGCAAAAATGCAAAAACTGTTAGTGAGATATTGTAAAAATAGTATTGCAGATGTAAACAATCCTACTAAAAAGATCAAAATTAAAGCAGTAGTCATCAATTCTATAACAGTTGGACAAGTTCAAATTCCTTCTCAATGGATGCAAAAGGTTGCTTTGGATATGGGAATAGAATTAGCAGATACTGGATCATGTGATGAAATTCAAGTATTAACCCTTTGCATTCAAATGGCATCGCTATGGCACCTGGCCGATATGAAGCATCTATTAAAGCTAGTATCAGAATATAAAAGCCAAGATTAATGCATTAAATGCTTCCATATGTAATGCACGATGGATTTCTTTATAAATAGAACATTCTACATAAATATAATTTTTGCTGTATAAATATTCAATACAGATTCTATACAAATAAAATTTTTTGATTGAAATGCTTTTAAATACAAACTGGAAGATGTAAATCTTTCAGTACATAATTTCAGCATAATTTAATTTGATAGCTGAACACAATAACATTAGTACATGAAAATTCTGACCTCCCAATCAGTCCACCATCAGATAACTGTGGCATTAATGTTTGAGATCGACGAAGAGCTTCTCTTCGTCCCTTGCTGAGATTAACAGCATCCCTGAGAGCAAACATCCAGTTATCTAAACCTTTTGAAGACCACAGCAATAACTGATCTTCTTGGCCTACACGAACAGCTATTACACCATCTTGCTTCTTGTCAATCCATTGAAGGTCATCAACATCAGCTAGATTCACCTAATGAGGGGAAATCTGAGTTTAATAATAAAATAATTGCACTATAGTAATTTGAACAACCAATACTACAAGACACTATTCACTTGCAATATTTAATTGGAGGTGTAATGCACAACATATGCAAATGTTATATTTCACACGACTAGAACAAGGATGCTGGACTAGTCTCATTCTGGGCACACCTAAAAATTTCCTTCTGTACACACAGAAAATGAAAAAGGATTTATAGGTTACTCTGAACATTCTTTATTTATACTAGATGGCAGCCCAACACAAACCAGTCCATATATTTTAGCCATGTTTAATGTTTTAAAAACCATCATTTTTCAAAGAAATATTCCAGATGTTTTTTAAGATATAAAAGGAATTGTTTCAAAAGAAATTTCTATGTTATTTTCTTAGCCGTATGCTAATCTCCTTATTCTATATTATTTTTGAATTTTTAAATTGAAATTTTGCCTAAAATCAAACGGCGAACATCAGATGTGCCCAGAGTGGAATCACTAAGAGACTAGGACCAGACCAACAACTCTATCTTCGTTTCTCAGCAGCTCTCCGGTCAGCTCATTCACAATAGAAAGGTGAGGTCATATTTGTGTTTCCTTTTCTGTTTTTCTCTCTTTTCTCTTTTTTTAGTCCAAAGGGCCAATTTGGCCTGAAGGACTATTATTTTTGTTTTGGCATTTTGTGTTGGTTCACTGTAAATGTCCGATTAACTTTTCAAATTGTTGCCACCAAATATTATCGCCCTTTATTATACTTAAAGAAATTAAATAATGAAGAATCTGCATAAATGTATGCATGTTTCTTGCATTGTGATAAAACAACGGTACCTAGAGCCATCTATTTTTGAATAAAGTAAGTTTCCACCCGAATATGGGCATCTGGAAGCCCAAATTTGGAATTTGTTTTATTATCTAGTTCATATTTTGAAAAACTTTAATGAATTTTTGATTAACAAACTCAATGATTTAAAAGCGAGCAATGGCAACACTCTACGAGGGGCCTTTTTATCTCCAGAGGCACGGAACTGTGTATTGAAAATTCTAAAGATATGCTAATTTTAAAAGTATTTTGCAATATCGCTGTTAAATTGAATTTTATGGTTTAGTGCGAAGAACATGATATTTAATAAGTAAAGGTAACACATAAATTGTTAAAAAAAGTCCCTTTGGACATAATTTAAAATCTGAAACCTTTCAGTTTTTGTTTTTTTAAGGGAAGGTTTGGTTATCAACTAAGAAATTGTTGGGGTGATTTTCTGAAGGCTATAGGAGTTGTAGCCATTTATTTAATTTTGTTTTATAGTTTATAATTCCTAACTGTAGATATAATATTAGTTTACTTTTGTTGGATTTTTAATTATTTTCCAAATGGATTGTATAATCTTGACCATTTCTGAAAATGCCCTTAAGTTTCTGAAACTCCCCGACGGCCAACCCACCCCCCCGGAGAGACAAACGCCCGACGCCCCAACACACACCCTCTTTGCTTCAGACCCCTAATGAAGTCTGTACGGATTCTGGGTACCAACCAACATGTGCAACACATTCATAAAATGGGTGTTTGGCTTTTTTTTTTAAGTGTTTCCCCACTTTCTTTCTTTCAAATTACCCCCTGCCCCCTCTCCCCGCCCTTTTCCCTCTGGCCTGTCCCTCCTTTTCTCTCCTCTCCTTTTTTTTTCTTCCTCCTCTCCCCCTGGCCCTGTCTCCTCCCTTCTCCCCCCGCCGCGGTGTGTTCCCGCTTTCGTCCTTTGGGGCAGAGAAGTAGCAACAAACAAGCAAAGCAAGCAAAGCACAAAGCACAGCAAGAGCAACACCACAGCATTAACGCACATACCCATCACAATGCAACAATTCCTTCCCGTGTGGTGCACCCCCTAGGTCAATGCTAAATCTGCAAACAGTATTCAGAAACTTAAAAAACAAGGGTAAGCTGAGAGGATAGTATTTTAGCTAAGGTAACGTTTTACTCTTTTTGTTAACCTATTGAAGTATTAGGGCTTGTGCAAAGAAGCTGCAGTTTAGATGACAATCTTAGTGATCTTTTGAGTTAAAAATTGAATGTATTCTCTTAGTATTTGGAAAAAAAAACGTCTGGAATGGAGGGGAGGCGAAGAGGGGGAACAGTGAAGGGTCGAGGGTCTCTTTAGATTGATGGGATGAATTTGGCAAAGTACGAAATAAGATAATATAGCACGGGAGAGCTCTTAGTCTTCAGGCGTAGTGTGTGGGCGTAAAACAAAGATAAGAAGGAGGAGAGTCGTAGAAAGAGTTCGTTTGGTATAGGAAAAAAGGAGTTGAAGGAAATATAGTAGTAAGTGAGATTATGAGAGGGATGAAGGGGGTAAGGGTTCTTGAGGGGATTGCTGCGGGCTTGCCCCTTTAAGAATCTTAGTTGTTAAGAGAGAGTAGAAGGTGATATTAAACGTAGAGAATAAGGAAAGAGGGGAGAAAGAATTGAAAAAAGGGGAGAGAAATGGAATGAGGCATCAGTGGGTAGAAAATTAACAGAGACGTGAATGGGAACCTTGATAGGGAGAGGATAAGGCTGACGCGTTGGGTTTTTTAAACAAAGTAGGGTAGGGGCAAAATTCTCTTACTCTTTTAAACACAAACGGCAATTTCCAACAATGCTATGCTTGTTTTCATCAGCAAAGCAAAACCAGAATCTTTTGAAAGGTCTCTCCTAATTCATTCATTTTGCCTGTCCCTTCGTGTCACCCCCATAAACCTTAAAATAATAATTGCTCTTTCTTTCCCTTTCTGCTTCACCAAATTTTTAAATGTGTACTCTTCCAGGTCTGATTAGATTGCCTACCTTTGTGTGGTGTCGAAATTTCATCTTTAAAAGGTAGCAAGCCAGAAAGGGTTAAGAAATTCTGGTGAGGTCAGTGGCATAGCTATACATAGGCAAGATTACGCAATGCAAATATGGGCATGAATTTTAGGGGCAAATTACTTTTTAAAACTTTAAATTACTTTTCAATCCTTGATATTATATGCACAGATTTAATTTTAAATATTGTGAATGAGATACATTATTAATTATAAAAGAGATTTTTATCTTCTTTTTGAATAATATAAAAATTTGAAATACAATTGAATGACACAGCAGCCAATCTTGCTTGTTGTTAATATCAGTGCCATGCAATGAATTATTTTGTTTGCATATTGGCTTATTTACAGCTACAGGAGCACAGTCATCAAATGCACATGTGCAATCAAAACAAAACTAGCCTGTTTTGTTTCTAATAATAATTTTGTATTTGTTAATAATTTGTATTTTATATCTAAAATTGCAATCAAAAACTAAAGGGGTTGGTTTTGGTTACAGTAACATTACAATTTGATGAAACAGGCAACTAGAACAAGTACCAAATGAAATGGGTCTTCAAAAACACAAATTACAAAATAAATTTGAAGTTATTTTATCAGAATCGAAACAAATGGCTGAAAAATTGGATATTAATTCAGAATTTCTAACCAAGAGAGAAAATAAGGTAAAATGAATTTTAATAAATTTTTGCTAAAATAATTTTTAATCCCATGAAGAAGTGAACAGATAAAGAACAGAACAGATGCATTGTGAACAGATGATTTAGATATTATTTCAGCACAAATAAATTATCAATTTATTGGCATGATAAATGTGAGAGATCAACTTGGTTTTTTGGAATCTTGTTATATAATCCATGCTAAAGAAACAGAATTAATACAAAAACATGACAGTTTAGTAGACATTTATTTGGAAATAATATAGCTAGTATTTACAATTTATAAAGGAACTAGTTATGTAAAGATGACCTTAATGAGAAAATATGATCATTCAAGAATTTGGGAACTTAATGTTAAAAAAATACTATTTACTGGAAAGCGACTTCTGCGACATGTATAGTTTTCTTAGTCTTTTTAACGATTTTTGTAAGTGTTGCTATAGTAGAAAGAATGCTCTCAAAACTAAAAACCTCCAAGATTATTACAGGAATATGACTGGACAAACATGATTAAACTATCTTTCGCTTCTTGACCCTGAGCATGAAAAGGCAAGTAAAATGGACCTGAAAAATACAGATTCTTTTTATTTTCTTGCAATACTGGAACACGCTGCTTATGCTGTACACCAGCTTCTCTCATCTCTGCATCACATGAATTTTTAGATGGTTGAATGCTTGCTAACTTAGACTTCATAACTTCACTATCAGTTTCTACCAACTTAACATTTTTACTTCCTTCCATCTCTACTTTTCTTCCACCATTTGAGAATCAGGAATTTTATTTCCATGAATTATTTCTTCAATTTTTTCAGATGCTTTACTAGTCATTTCTTTTATTTCTTTATTTTCACACATAGTATTATCACTTTCTTCCATTTCAACTTCAGGAACTTGAGAATGAAAACCTTCTTTCCCATCTTTTTGTTCTTTTTCTTTAATCTCATTAGATGTTTCATCTTTGATCTTTCTCAGACATTTCACCAGCTACTACCTTCGTTTCTTCATCCTTTGATTCTTCAGATGCCACTACTGTCATTTCCACATCTTCTATATTAGCTTCAATTTTCTCTCTAAGCTCCATAGTGTCACATCCAATCTTGTTTTGCTCCACTTCTTCCATCTGTTAGAGTTGATCTTGCAAGTTTTTCTCTGACTTTTATTTCTTCTTGACCTGATTTTATTTTGCTCCTGATCTCAGCCTTTATCTCCTCCTCCTGATCTCAGCCTTCATCTCCTCCTGTCCAGCTTTCATCTGTTCTTGTCCCGCTTTTACAAGTGTTAAAAGTCCTGAAAGCCTTCATTTCCTTCACCATGGGTTTTTCCTGCAGGCAGACGACTGGCGTTCACTCATAAATTCCACTTCTGATACCAGTTGTTGCGCTCTACGGGTTCATAGATTTGGAGTAACTGATGATAACACTTGATAAAGAATCAAAATACAATTTATTTGCCAGTAAGCACTTTTAATTACATAGGACAATTCCAAAGACATATTTACAGTTAT